GACCTGAAAGTTACATCAGTAATCTTAAATCAGGGAAATTAACTGGCTTCCTTTTTTATTTTTTTTAAAGCATAAACAGCATGAGAGAGATCACTGTTTTTCTCTTTTTAATAAGAAGTTGACCATTTTTCATCACCTTATGATTGAACTTTTTTCAACCATGCTGTTTTCTTCACAGTTCATTCATAGGAAGGAATGTCAAAAGGACTTGCTGATGAAACATAACATTAGAGCACAGGTTGCAAACAGGGCTGAAGAACCACATCCGGCCTGAGCCATTTCTCTTGGTGTTGAGTGTATATTTCAAGCCTTAATTGAGTGAGTTTCCAACATCTTTTCCAAAATTGAGATATTACACATAAAAGCATGGATTTTTATCTTCTCTTAAAAAGCAGAAGACGTGGCAGCAGCTCTCAGCCCACGTTCCCAAGCAGTGACAGTAGGGAAGTAGAGCTGCCCCTCCAGACTCACCCACAGGACCCTCCACTTGGCAACACTACCCACCAAGCCCACTTTATTCCTGTTGGTTTCCTGCATGGCCAAGAGGAATCTGAATTTACAACCCCTGTGGTAAAAAGTGTAGGAGAGGAAGGAGTTGGAGATGTATTAATAAGATCTCACTGAACAGAATGATCTTTATACCAGAAAAGCAAAGTCAGGACAATTAAGACACACAGACCTTCCACAAAGATAGCCCACTATGGGCATATGTACTAAATATACATACATGCAGGATTGACCAACCTTCCCCACCTATTCAACTAGATTCCCATGTTCCCAGCACAGACTCTGGGTAGATTATGGATTGGTGCAATGACTGGAAGAGGGTGCTACTGATGTTCAGTGGACAGGAGCTAGGGGTGCTGGGTATAGTGAATGCATATTACAGTCCTATGCAAGGATGAACCATCATTTATCCCATACAATTCTATGTCTAGCTGGACATTCACGTAAGTTAAAAAGCTATCTGTCGGCTGGGCGCAGTAGTCCACGCCTATAATTCTAGCACTCTGGGAGGACGAGGCAGGAGGATCACTTGAGCTCAGGCGGTCAAGGCTGCAGTGAGCCATGATGGCATCACTGCACTCCAGCCTGGGAGTATCTGTAATTACCTGAACCTAGCACCTCACTCCATTTTACATATCAACAGAAATCACAGCTTCCCATGGTTTTATTAATACTATTAATAAATTTTCCAAAAGTACAAGTACTACTTAAGAAAGAAAAGAGTGTAGTTTGCATTATTTATAACATGATCGAGAGCTGCTGATTATTTTGGAAAAAGATATAATCATAATCCCAAAAGGCACAACAATCCAGAATACCATAATCCCAAATGTTAAAATCCCCAAAGGTCAAAAAAGACCAAAATCCCCAAAATACAAAAATGTTAAAATTAAAAATTTTAAAATTAAAATAATTTTAAAATTCTTTAAAAGAGACTGATATTTTTAAAAGGGGATTTGAGAAACATGTGAAAATACAACAGAACACTTCACAGGCCATTTTATATAATAAAATGGGGAATAGTAACATACATATTTTTGCAAGCATAAACACTCAAGTACACTAACAATGGTCACAGGGAGTATAAGCAGATTAACCATAAATAAATAGATAAAAAGGGAAATGTAAAATCGCATATCACTATGGTTGGTGATTGTATGCACCAAGCTCATACCGCAGTCATCTGAAATACCATGACCAGCAACCTGAGTCTTTTGACGAGATCGATCAAAACCATGGAGGGTCACCACTGGATATGCAGTTGCCCAAATCGCTGAGAGCTCAAGTAGTTTTATCTTTCACAAACACAAACATCTCTTCATTCATCGAGGAAGAACATCTCTTCATTTTCATTTACAGGGGAAGTTCCCATGTTTTTACATATTCACAATGTCAACGTTGTGACGATGCACTTTCATTAAGTTAAACTTGCAGAAGAATGCATAAAATGAATCAGAACTCTCTAATATTAGTCTCCACACGATTTAAATCTCCAATATTGAAAATGATGCGAAGATGAAATACATAGCATAGTGAATCGTAAAAAATAATGCTGACAGGGCTGAGCACAGCTGCTCACACCTATAATCCCACCACTTTGGGAGGCTGAGGCAGTGGATCACTTTAAGTCGGGAGTTCGAGACCAGCCTGGCCAATATGGTGAAATGCTGTCTCTACTAAAACTACAAAAAAATTAGCCAGGCGTGGTGGTGCATGCCTGTAATTCCATCTACTCGGGAGGGTAAGGCAGGAAAATCGCTTGAGCCTGGGAGGCGGAGGTTGCAGTGAGCCGAGATTGCACCACTGCACTCCACCCTGGGCAACAGAGACTCTGCCTTAAAAATAATAATAATAATAATAATCCTGACAATTTAAAATACTGAAAAAAACTTTTAAAATCTGACATAAGAAAAAGTGTACTGCAGTAATAGATTATGGGCATTTAAGAGCTGGCCTAACATGCAGTTATCCTATGACTGAGATTTTTGGGATTTTACACTTTAGGGATTTACGCTTTTGGAATTGAATTTTTAGGGATTTCAACATTTGGGATGACGGCACTTGAGATTATGTCTTCTGTGATTATGATTGAAGTCCTTTTGGAAAACCACATCCTAGATAACATGCTTTTCACGTTGCCAATACCATATACCTGCACCAGTCACAGTCTACAGCTGCCCCACTCATGGGATTTATACAAAGAGGTGCAAGCACTTACTTCCTTATGTCTTCTAGAGTAGTCATTCCTTAGCATTGACTTAAGAAGAGTATTCAATTTATTATATAATTTATTACTTTCCTTTTATTTCTCCTTTATAATTTTTTAATTGGTATCTATTATTTATGAATTTTATTCCATGTTCATAAAGCCATATAATATTTGCTCTAAAGAAGGTACAGTGGTTTTGTTGGAATTGAGGATGTCTGATATAATCATCATTATTAAAATAATGATGCAATTCCACAAGTCTTCAAAGCAATCACTAGCCTCCAAGTCTATGACTTCATTGTTTCTTCTTCTACTCTCTAAATCCCATGGGTGCCTCCAACTGAGGCTTACTCAGCACTTCCTTCTTCCATTAGGAAGCCCTCCCTGACCACTGTATCACACCCTCTTATCCAGCAAAGACAGATTTGGCACCCTTCCTATGTGCTCCCACAGCTTTGTGTGGTTTGTCCTGTAATACACTACTTATCACTGCCTCTTTATTCTTTGATATCCAGCTCCCACAGGGTGAAGACTGTCATAGTTCTATCTCTAGGGCCTAGCACACTGCTCATTTATTATTCGATAAATATTTCTGAGCACCTACTATGTGCCAGACACTATTACAGAAGCTGGGATACAGCAGTGAGCAAGAGAGAGAATGCCATGGTAGAGCTGTCATTCTAATAAGCAACAGGTGATAATTAACGAAGCTACGAAATATAATTGCAGACCCTGATCAGTACTGAGAAAGATATAAACAGGGTGCTATGATGGAGAAAAACAAGCAAGACATCTCTTAGATAAGAGGGGAAGACTTTGCTAAGATGACACTTCAGCTGAGACACAAAGGCTCAAAGGTCCTAGCTCAAGAAGAGCCAGGAAAAGAATGTTCTCAACAGGATAAACTGAGGGTGCAAAGCTCGTGTGACAGTGGAGAGTCTGAGGTGCTCAAAAAATAAAATAAAATAAAGCTCATATGGCCAGAATGTAGTTAAGAAGCCTCTGTGGGGACAGCAGGGTCCAGGCATGTACCTTCTTGTAGATGACGACAGCCTGGATTTTACTTTAGGTTCAATGGGAATGACCTCACGTGTCTCATGCTTACGTGTCCTCATGCTGGACTGTAAGCTCCCTGAGGTGAGGAGCCTGGGTTTTTCATCACATCCCGTCTGAAACAACACACACTGAACGTAGGAATCCCTTCACGTGACCCTCACCTTACCAAATGCAGCTAGCTGTGACTTTGCCATATGCTAGTCAAAAATGGAGTAAGGTGAGAGGCAGAACCTCTTGAGCTGCTCAGGGCTCACAGATGCTCTAGGTCTTCAACTGTCATCACTGAGCCCCAGGAAAGATCACTGTGTATTCTGTGAAATATTTGATTGAGTGCCTGGTAAGTGCCCAACCTTGTTGTAGACACAAAGGCTATTGCAACAAGTAACAGTGACACAGACCTGGGCCCTCACGAAGCTTACATGCCAGGGGAGGGAGATAGCCAGTAACCAAAATACATTAGAAAGATGATGTTACATGACGGGGAGAAAATGAAGTAGGTCAGGGAACAGGAAATGGGGTACAATTTCGATATTAGTACACTGGCTTATATGTCATGTCTCCTTCTAAACATCTCAGAGAACTTCCTGATTAGCCTCGGAATGCAGGGCACTAAAAGAACCAAGTCATTATTTTACATAAGATGAAACAGGATCAGAGAGGCTCAAAAACTTCCTATGGTCACACAGCACATCAGCAATGGAATGAGCACATCTTTAAAACGCCTGATAACAGGATAGATGCAATGCTAATGGCCAAAACTTATTAAGTATTTATTATGTGCCAGGCACTGTTCATGTGCCTTTTATGTCTCATTTTCTGTAATCCTCACAATGACCTCCTGAGGTGGGTACTACCATCTTCATTTTACAGATAACATAACAGAATTGGAAAATAGCACATAACGTGCCCTAGAGCACCGGTTACTGAGTGGTGGAGCCAGGATTCCATTCCAGGAAGTTTGCTTCCAGTGCCTGACCTCATAACCACTTCTCCATCCAAAGCTACCTGTGCAGAGAATGGCTGAGAAAAGAACTCTCCAGATATCTCAAGATGACTAGGATCTATCCCTCCCTAGGGTCAGCTCCCTTCTACCCCTTCATGAAAAAACATAAGAAAGCCGGCAGCTAGAGCTGGAGGGTTGCATAAGCAGTCTCCCACCATTGCACCCAGACACCACCAAGGCAGCCACTCACTACTGCCCCATTGACAGCCCCATTGCAATACGTACGTGTAGTTTGTTGAGCAGCACTGCATCTGTTGTGCTGTTGGCCCCAGGCTTAGCAGCTTTCCAGAACTGCTTCTGGGCAGAGTAGCGGTTCATGGGACATAGCTTAAAGAGGCAGTCTAGAAGTAAAGCAAACAAACAGAAATTGCTATTGAGGGTGTATAGACACTCAGCCTAGGAAAAAAAGGCTTTCCACTTAAAAAATTACATAAAATTACATCATACTAGATATACAATGAGGGTACAAAGCTCTCTGACAAATCTCTTTTTAAATTTAATTGCCACCACCACTGTGTGAGGGTACAGACGAGGAAACCGAGGCTTACAGAAAGTGAGTCACTTGTCTGTTCTACAGAACTAGTTGGTGGCAGAGCTGTCCAAATTCAGCGTTTTGATTTCTTTGTTTGTTTTGCTTTTTTGTTTTTGTTTTTAAGACATAGTCTCCCTTTGTCACCCAGACTGGGTGCAGTGGCACGACCTCGGCTCACTTCAACCTCCGCCTCCTAGGTTCCAGTGATTCTCCTGCTTCAGCCTACTGAGTAGCTGGGACTACAGGCACGTGCCACCAAGCCTGGCTAAGTTTTTATATTTTAGTAGAGATGGGGTTTTGCCATGTTGTTAATGCTACCCCATAGTTATCTCCTTTCCTTTACGATGAACAAATAAATACAAGGACAAATAGTTCTTGCTGTATACAACAATGCATACAAGCATTTTTTTATACAAATCCAACTCTCTTCAGTACTATTCAGTTTAGAAAAAAATATTACAGGCCCGGCGTGGTGGCTCATGCCTGTAATCCTAGCACTTTAGGAGGCTGAGGCAGATGGATCACTTGAGGACAGGAGTTCAAGACCAGCCTGGTCAACATGGTGGAACCCCGTCTCTACTAAAAAATACAAAAAAATTAGCCAGGTGTGGTGGTACATGCCTGTAATCCAGCTACTCTGGTGGCACAAGAATCGCTTGAAACTGGGAAGCAGAGGTTGCAGTGAGCCAAGATCACACCACTGCACTCCAGCCTGGGCGGCAAAACAAGATTCTGTCTCAAAAATAAATAAATAAATAAGATGCTTATTTGGAGGGCTCTCCTAGGGCAGTGGTCTCTTGAGTATTGTGTGCAAGATGACCCTCTATGGTACAGAAAGAAAATCTATAAACTGGCATTTAGATAGTCTGTGCCCTTGTCCCCCCACTCTCAGTGCACTGTCATGTGCTTCCATTTAGCATGTCTTGGCTTATACAACTTTATACATTGTCTTATGTGGTATAACCAACATTCACAGAATGGACAAGTGGCTTCAAAAGATTTCTGCAGAAAAATCAAAACGTCAAAGACAATAGTAATGCAACCCAGCAAACCAAAAAAGGCGGAACCAAGCCTTCCCTTAGAGCTCTTAGTAAAAAGAATGATGATCTAATCAGATCTGGAAAAAGCCAGACATTAAAACTCATAAATAGAATCACTTAAAATATTGTTTTTAATGATGAAAATTACCCTAAAGCATCTGTGTTTTAAGGCGTTAATGATAATATGAAACCATCATAAATAACAGAATATATATTGTTTAATCTTAATCTGAGTTATTTCGTTCTACTTTCCACTTGTTTTATAATGCCTACAATATATTACTACAATAATACGTGTTTGTAACTTTTAAAAACACACACATACACACACACACACACACACACACAAAGTGTAGGGTATAGCCACCAATTTTTTTTAAGAGATGGGGACTTGCTATGTTGCCCAGGCTGGAGTGCAATGGCTATTCACAGACAATCATAGCACACTGTAGCCTGGAACTCCTGGGCTCAAGCCATCCTCCTGCCTCAGCTTCTCAAGTAGCTAGGATTTGGGCTTCACCAGATTTTTCTGACAGGGATATGTCATCAATAAACCGTAACTACTCTAGGAAACCAATATTTAAAATTGACACTCCCCATGAAAAGTTTACATTTTGACATACTGAGTTTTCAAACAGTAAATATCTGTAGAGTAAAATTAACGAACTTGGAGTGGATACTGATATTCAGAAAAATGACACCATGAGACTAGGTCTGGACAAGAAATTAAGGAAATTATTAACTGTACACTTATTCTTACCTATTCATTAAAACCGATTCCCTTAAAGTACCTTGAACAGGTAAATATATAGTTATTGTCCTAGTCCAATAACTATCTCAAAGAACAAACAATGGATTTGCTGTCAGCATATAAACACTAGGTCTTTCCTCTAATTCAGATCACTCTTTCTTCTAGTCAGGATCAATAATTAACTGTTACTATGTACTGCACACACAAATACCTGAGATTGTTCAGAAAAAAAAATAAGAATACTTAATTGTAGAAGTAATAGGTACTTACCCTGTTTCTGTAATCTCCTTCATCACTAAATATTTCTACCTAGTCACAGGCAGTTATAAGGCAAATATGGGACCATGATAGCTATCTTTATCAAGAATCTAATCCATCTACTGAAAGTAATTTTTACTGCATATGAAAGATACTCTCTAGGACTTTGCAGAACAAAAGATACAGCAGGAGACCAGTTTAAAAGACCAGCCTGCTCTCCCCACCTCTTAGGAAAGGCACAGGTCATGGTCATTTGCTATATTAGTGGCAATTTAATGACATTATTTCCAGAGATGCAGTTTTCCTACCAGCTTAATATTAGTATATACGAACTATCCGTTCACTCCATGAATAACCATACACAACCAGGAGACAACAGTTTACATTAAATATCCCATCTTTGACACAGGACTGAACATTACTCCAAAGCACCTATGTGTTTCAAGGTGTTAATGATAATATAAAACTATAATAAATAACAGAATACTGCATTATAGTTTAATCTTTTTTTTTTTTTTCTTGAGATGGAGTCTCGCTCTGTCACCCAGACTGGAGTGCAGTGGTATGATCTCCACTCACTGTAACATCCACCTCCCAGGTTCAAGTAATTCTTCTGCCTTAGCCTCCCAAGGTGGCTGGAATTACAGGTGCCTGCCATCATGCCAGGCTAATTTTTGTATTTTTAGTAGAGACAGGGTTTCACCATGTTGGCCAGGGTGGTCTCGAACTCCTGACCTCAAGTGATCCACCCACTTTGACCTCCCAAAGTGCTGGGATTACAGGTATGAGCCACTTCACCCAGTCTTATTGTTTAATCTTAATCTTATTCATTAACTTCTACTTTCCTCTAATTCAGGAACCTGGGTTGGGCAAGAATGGCATCCTTAATGACCACATGACTTTTTAAAATATTCAAAATATTTAAGTCACTGGCATTAACGTTTGACACATGACTTACTTCATGGACCAAACGGGGTTAACAATGTCAGTTTTCACCAATAGTAAGTTATAGAGAGTAAAATGACCTATTCTTTTCTCTCCAACATGCTTCATATGATGACACTAAATGGTATGCATTCCAAAAAAAACTGATTTAGGAAGATGTGGGGGACAATCAGGGTGAATTCATGATGCCAAAGGATAACAGACAGTGGAAAGTATTTTACAACTCTTCACGGTACCACCAAGTCAAGCACCTCGCCTAACAAAGGGGCTACATCACAAGCTCTAAACTTCGGATAACTTTACATTCCCCTAAGGTGAGAGGGTGTATTTAAATAACGTCCATCCAACCAAAGCCTTGCTCTAACTTCCATACCAACTATTTTCCTTGGATAAAACAGAGCATTGCATTGCATTAAGTGTATTTACAACCAACTGTCTGTGTAAATATAAGAGATGCTAACAAACTAGTAACAGAATCAAATTAGCCTTGCTGATTTTGCCCTGCCTTCCCAGTTGCTTAGCAACTGATTCAAAGTGAAAATTAAATTAAGCAATTCAAATGTAATGTTAGAATAACCTTCCAAAATTTTGCAATTTGTAGGTTCCATATCGCCCTTTGCTATTTGGATGGCATAGCAGAGCAAAATTAAACTTCCACTGGGTCCTAATACTCTGCTAAGTATTGAAATGTACAAATACAGGAAAACCAGAAAAATATATGTAATATTTATTTGGGGGAAAGAGAGCACATGTGTGTACATATGTGTGTGTGCATGCATGCATGCATGCACACACACACACACACACACACACACACACACAATGGTTTGAACTCACCCCAAAGAAATGCCACAAAGAATGTCTTATGTGACAAGTGTTATTTTAGGCCTTTG